GGTTGCAGTCACTCTAATCTAACGTTTATGGATGCCGAGAATCGCTTCACCGTGTTAATTCTGACCATGAATGTTGATAAACATTAGAATTACTGGAAGGTTTGTATCGATATAGAAGGACATCGTTAAATTGGTACGTCCGTGTGATCATATGGTTAGGCGAACACGTCGTATTAAATAATTCTCGTCGACGGCTTCGAACTATAGAAACTGACATTAGTCTATCCATGCATGTATCATGCATAATGCGACACTGGAAGCTCTGCGGTTTATACTTCCGGTTTTATTAGCAAACTAAACATTTACAGTTAATGAGTAGGCATCCACTGTACCCAGCATAGCAACAATTCGATTATGGTTTACTTATGACTTTAAAAAAGTGTGTTTATATTTCAAGTCACATTTATTCCATTCGATGTGCCAGATTGTCTTTCGTGTCACTACACGTGTGTGTGCAATTCAATACTTGTTTAATCCCATGTACATGCCTTCGGAAAAGACTTTACCACACAAACCCAGATGAGACATGTTTACATGGAATCACGTATATCAGGTACTTGCGGAGAATTCTGTATTCTGTGACCCATGACAAACATGGCACTAGTACACATCAAATGAAATGGACAGGTTACATGCAATCTAACCTAACTGCAATTCAGTGTAGGATATTTCCCCGAGGAGCGATAATTCCTATATTTATATGATTACTCAGGCATAGTTACACCATATCATGACTTGAATCGTCTATGATGCAATGCAATCATGTACGTTCCGGCGTGTAAGAAATACGGATAGGCAGTTTTACTATGAGAGCGATTATCTACACTGATACTTGATACCAGTTGGACGACACTAATACCCACTTGTGTGATACAAGTGCTGAGTAAAACGATGTCGTAATGGACAGTTGTAGCCTCGTTTGTATGCAGCTTACACAACATCTTCAATATATCTGTAATAATCTGAATTAGTTTTTTTTTTCCACGGCTTACAGATAAGTACTTCGATCTTTTCCATCTACATTTACCGTACCCGTCCACGCAACCTCCACGCTGGAGCACTTTACCAATAAGTACGTTTGTTGGGAATTCGGGATCTCCAGTGTCAAAATCTGAGTTTCATTCATTATTTGAGATTTAGTGTTTTGTAACCAAAAATTAGCCATGCCAAACACGACTTATGGCAGATGCTTTTCTTTACGATCGGTATATTTGAATACACACCAAAGGGGTGAATCATATGGATAAAAAGCCATAAGTCCTATAATTTTGTGTTTGACTAAATGCAAAATGCAAAACCTAATACGATTTAATGTTCATAACTAAAGATCACTGCAGATGTAACTGGATATATACAACCTTAATACTATAATCTATTATTCTGTTTTCGCTAACATTTCATAAATCATCTGCACACGATGTCTGTGATATGTATTACCTAGGTTACTACAAGAAAGTGATCACCTATTTCACTTGTAAGATCAATCATATTTGTCATCTTGGTCCCATAACACTTATATATGACTTATTCAGATTGTACGCGGTTGAAAACGAATTTCTCTCTATGGATAGCTAGGGTGTATTGCCATGAAATACTATTATTGGCGGACAGAGCTTATCATTCGCACCACGTTTCAACGACAACACGATTGTTGAATAATTTTCCTTTTTCTATCAATTCGCAAAGCAATGCATTGTATTTGATTAGATTATTACCTTAATGACAACAATGCCATTGTACAGTGCATACACATATTATAGCACATGTCCTTACACAAACCTACATATTTTTTCTTTCCAAGAAGCGGCATCAAAGAAACAGTTCAGGTGTTTATTTCATATATTATGGATTACTATGTCCGAATAAGCTATAACTGAACTCTAGCCAACTTCAATCTTACGCGAGTCTTTATTCCACTACATTTATACGTGAGTACCGATTTCTAACACAGACTGACAATACTTGCTAGATTGCAAAGTAAACATAATCTTTCACACATCTGAGTCGCTATTCAAATGTGTTTGCTATACAATTGGCAATATGTTCCTACAGTGAATGTAATGACACTCGCACCTCATACAGTTAAACTGTCTACTGTTGCTGCTTGAAGAATCAGTTTTGTCAGGTGGTTGGAATAAAGACTAGTACGCTGTATTGTCAGCTACATTTTATTTGACGCCTTCGCAAAATCGTGTAATATGTGTACTGTTATAAATGCAATAGCTACAGTATTTGCAAAATATCTGCATCAGATTTTATTTTTTACAAATAGCCGAACATTACCGAACATTTCCGTAGATTATGATTTTGACTGTGATTTTCAGTGTTTTTGTGTTTGTTTTCAAATCAGAAAATCAAACGCGGAAGTTTCTGTTCGACGCTCGGAGATGGACCAAACATTAAGCAATAAATATTTGATGTGAAACATTTTTTTATTAAAATTGATTTGAGTTGTTTATTATATAGCTGTTAGACCTTTCTTCCGAATGCATAGAACGACTACATTACTCATGTTCAACTGTGCCCGAGCAAACATCGAACATTGCGAAATTTTTGCTGTATTTGTATGAGCGCGATTCCAAAGAAGAATTCAAAACAACAAAGCATAACAAGATTTTTGGTAGCGTAGTGAGCCGATAAAAGGCTAATCGTATCCAGTTTCAATTAGTAATACTCGCGGGCGCCGTAACGTTCAGATTCGATTTTCGTTTACTCGGGTTTTCAACTTGCCGATAACAAATCTTCAAAGTGTAAAAGTAATATTTCATAATACACTAATAGGTTCGTGTTGGTATTATATTTCAATGACATGTTTTGATAAGTGCTGAAGAGTATGTATGTATGCATAGATTCTGTCACATGGCTGCATGGTTCCAATATCGATAACGTCACAGCGACATTGCAGTAGCTAAAAATCTTTAAAGTGGTATGTATTTTTACTAAATATGTTAGTGGTTACGTATTATAACTCTCACGTGTAAATAATTTTAAAATGTCCAACTTTTGCATTTCTTAGGGTATGTTTTGTTTCTGATCATTGGTTCCTTGTGATACATTCAATGTTTATCAACAGTTGTATGCACAACCTTTCATTCAAAGCATGACTTCACCGTGTAGTAATATAAAACAAACAATTTGAAAACCCGGGCAGCAGAATTTAAAACATTTCAACATATGCGTGTATCAGCTTATTGACGACACGGTCTGGAAGCATCTAATGTGATATATCGACGTTATTGGTGTATTCAGACAATAATAGCAATCGTAATTTAGTTACAACCGAGACTATTTAGTGACATGTGCAGGTAGTCGTGATATGGAACATACGGTTATGGCCGATTCAAGATTAATCAGTGGGAATCCTCTCTGATTGCAAATCTCATTGCTATTTTATGCACTGACGGCCGAACAAGTGCGTTTTTTTTCAAACCAATTTACAATATACGCAATCATTGTCACTGTTTTACGTCAATGGACGTTTACATCATATAAATACTGGCGTGTTCATTTCCGTGGTAATTCTAATGTTATTGAATTGGTATTAGAGCGTTGTCAGAGGCTAACGCCGCGTATTAGTACATTCTTTACACTCCCCCGACATTCATTTATTACAGCCAATATATTGTAAAAGGTGATTTTGTTTCTGCGCATAGAATCACCGAGGCACAAACATTGATCAAGATCGGTGTGTCAAATGTGTCGGTGGTTCTATCTTGTAATAAACACTGACAATATTGTTATATCACGTGCGAGCATGTGATCGGTAAATGCAATAATGGTGATTATCAACTGGCTATGTTACAAGATAAGCTGATTACAATACGGAAAGTGAGCTCATAGAATCTTCACAAGAGATGTTTGAATCGCTGATGCCGGAAATAACTGATAAAAACAGGTTTTCAAGTGCTGTTTTGTAATTCCAATGAATAGAATCATTGTAGAGAATAGCGATTTAGCTGTCGTTTGTTCTCAAATTTGTTTGACACGTGACAATCACACACAAATCCTTGTTATACTACATCAAATCAATGTCACATCACGTGATGATTTATTTTGGATGGCAACCATACTGAATGAAAAATCTACTACACTATACCCTTTTCTTATGTACACTGTGTGGACAATCATAGTTATACTATAGACTATATATTGTGTATATAAACATGGTCGTCGTAACAACCAAAATCACGTGTTTACTGCATGTGTGTATCCTCTAGTATCTTTGGTTTTATTATCTTTAATTATTAAGTGCAACTGAGGGTTATATGAAGATTTGACAAATATACCCCGGAGCTTACAGTTAATAATTGTTCTGCCATCTCCAATTCGGGATTTTACTTGTCAAAATATTGCATTTCGATGTCTTAATTCTATCCAAATTTGGCAGCCGACTCAGGGTGGTTGGCCTACGTGCAGACGCTATTAGAGTGAAATGTTGGCCCATTTGCATGAACTGAGGTGTATATTACGATTTATTCCATTCCACGTGACCGGCTCGTCTTCAGTCAGCTTGGTGTACTGGAATATGAGAGATGATAATAAAACTTCATTTGACTTTACATTTGATATTCGTCGCGAGAATTACCCTGTACACAATTTCTACATAAGTTTGACATGTAACAACCATTAACAAACATTGACCATGAATATATTACACCTCCACGGAGCGATAAAATGGCAAAAACCTTGGTTCACCAATGACAGAAAAAAACATATATTTGCATGGAATATATAAACTGCGCACAGTACAGTAAACTCTGTTGAAGGCTAGGATACTGGCGGAGTATTAACCGATCGTGTCTGTTTCACTAGTCTTGCATTATAATTTAATGAAACATTGAATATTTGTACATCATTGGTAGCCTTTAGCATCGTACATATCACCGTTCAGCTGTACATACACTTCACTCCCTGTCAATAATGTATGTTTAATTGGTGCAAATAAACGCTCACTCACATTCAGTTTTTTTGTTTTTTTTTTATTTTACAGGAACATCATCATGAACCTAAATAATTCAAGCCTTGTCGGCAACGACACATCAGGACTGCCCGACTTGCATCTGCCACCACATAATCCAGTAGCGCTTATTTTTATATGTGTTGGAGCAGCAGCGGGTATTGTGTTTACAGCCGGTGGCAATGTATTAGTATTAGAATCATTTCGGATAGAAAGACGACTTCATAAGCCTAGCAACTACTTCCTTTTCAGCCTCGCCTGCGCTGATCTCATGATAGGTCTTGTTTCAATGCCTCTGTATTCGGTCTATGTGACAGTTGGATATTGGCCTCTCGGAAACCTCGTGTGTGATTTATGGTTAGCACTGGACTATGCTTGTTGTACTGTGTCCGTGATGAACCTTCTTCTCATCAGTTCAGACAGACTGTGGTCCGTCAGTAGACCTGCATCGTACAGGAATAAGATGACTCTGAGGCGGGCCACTCTAATGATAATACCAACGTGGATCATACCATTTGTTGGGTTTTTTACCGCAGTCATTGGGTGGCCGTATTTCTCTGGCATTACACGTCCAGCCGAAATATGCCAAGTTCCATATATGGATGATGCCATATTCATGACTGTGTCTACTGTCGTAGTATACTGGCTTCCTTTATTAGTGCTTATTCTCATATATCTACAAATATTTCGAATCATCCAACAATTGGCAGCGAGGAAACGAAGTGCAAAGTCTAAGCAGCAGTCATGCATCGTAAGAGTAGACAACCTGAAACCGCATCCAGCAAGCTCCTCGTCTTCGGGTGTAAAGGCATCAAACAGTAGTTCTTACGACATGGCAGAAGATCGACCGCATAGATCGGACAGCGCATCATGCTCATCAAAAACCAAGTTCCTCTCCCCTTCAAATACAAGCAATGACCTGTCGATGCGCAAGGGACTTACGGAAGCAGAAAGCTTTGAAATGGAACCGAGTGAGGACACATCTTCGTCGGGAAGAAGAACAAATCTTGAGCCATCGACACATATGGCGTATGAGACATCGACACAAATTGCGTACAACGAAAATCACAATGAGATGGATAAAGAACAGCACAGACTTACTGATTCCAATTCCAAACGGGGCAGGAAATATCGCTGGACAAACCGGCACAAGTCAAGTAAATCGCGGCAAGACAAGACGGAGCGTGCTGACAAAAAAGCCATGAAAACATTAACTCTAATCCTTGGTGCTTTCTTTGTCACATGGAGTCCTTATAGCACATTTTTTATCATTATGGGATGGTGTGCGAAATGCATCGACCCCGGATTATATTCATTCAGCTATTGGCTATGCTATATGAACAGTACACTCAACCCTTTGTGTTATGCGTTTGCTAATGAACTATTCAGAGTTACATTCATAAAAATATTAACGTGTAATCGCTGCCGTAATTGAATACTCTATGGATTCTGTCGATTATAGCATAACACATATTTACAAAGAAATTACAACTACTTCCAACTGTGTAATTTCGTATTTTTGACCTATTGGACTTACGTCATAACGTTACTATAATGTAGGTACTTAACGAGCAATATGGTAGTTAGCATTGGCATATGATGTCGTATTCAAAATTCAAGCTTTTGCTTACCTGAATTTTTTTAAATATTCCACATGCGTTCTTACGTATCATACACTGTTATTATATTCATAGTGGCTGTATTACTAAAAACATATTACTCATTCATGCACTTCTACGTTGATGATCACACTGCGTATGCGTAGGTTGTGTTTTCTGTTGGTCTGTCATCATCTCTTAATCGTACATAACCTTGAGACGAGGGGCTCACGATAAATTCACTAGTGTTGACTCCATAGAAGACGTCTACCGACCAAATCAGTGATTTTCTTTTGAAGCTTGATATATGTGGGTGGTGTAAAGTCTCGATTTCATGAATTTCTAATTTTGCTATTTCACCCACCGAGTACGCAATGTATAGAATATAGTTATGTTGCGGCTTTAATATTTGTCATCGATGTATACGTTAGAGCATGCATTGATTTCATTATGATATATATATATATATATATATATATATACTATGTACAGCACTTATCATACAATAATTACGCTATATTGCAGCTAAATTAAATGTTTTTGTAATTTTTTTTCAAGGAAATACAAACAGCTTTATATATGCAATGATTGTAGTCATTTCATAAGATTTACAACAAACATAACATATACACGTCGTTTCTATCAACTAATTTGAATATTAAATGGTGAATACAAATGAAGTGATTGATGCATGGCTATTCAACCCTGAAGCTTGGGTTGTATTCTCAATTATGTATTATTTATATTGTTGTCACTCTCTATGGGTAAAACTATATGGGTACAAATCCAAAGTCTATGGCCGAAGTCACTTTTTCTGCCATGGTCACAGAATTAAACGTGCACATAATATCTAATGCCGGCGTCACTGACTACAGATACAGTATCGAGTAATTTATCACAATGTCCTTTGTGAATATGCAAAGTGAGAAAAGAGATGTTTCTCAATAATAAATACGCATATGTATAATGATTTATTTACATGTGCGTGGGATCGCATGTCACGACTGGTATGGGCTGCCGACTTATTTTGACACACTCAAAGGCTTTTTCGAAAGTTTAAAATATATAAAACATC